TGGCAGATGTGACAAGTGGAGAGCAAGAATTTGACTGCCATGACAGTAAAGAACTCAGGAGGAATTTTGGTATGTAGAGAAAAAAGTAAATATCAGAGAAACAGGTTCTAACTTGGATACCATAGAAAATTTATCAATCCTTTTGAAACTGCAGTCACAATTTCAATGAAAATGTTCCTCCAGGATTGGACAGCCTGATCACTCTTGGAAAGGAGGAAAGTAACATGTTAATTTTTCCAATCAGTAAAGAGACAATGAGATGCGAAGAAGTATGGAGTTAGAAAGAGATCTTCAATCCTGCAAGAAAGGGGTCTCAGAGCTTCAAAATAAATTCAAGACCACTGACACTTCAGGCAGGGTTGATTGACCTATAACTACACAGGGGGAATTCAGTTATATGCACAGTCTCCCTAACTCAGCGACAACACCAAATTAAAGGCTAACCTGCTGGCAGTCAAACAGCATATTCAGGCAGAAAATGAGAAGATTGTAGAATATTTGTAAAACTGTTGCACTCAGATATCTTGTTTTCTCATCCATGCAACAAAGATATTTTGTTGGAGGAAATAGCCTATCATTAAAAGTTCAGAACTCCAAGACCACCATGAATGACTAGCTGAAGAGAACTCTCAACTGCAGTTAATGAGTGAAAACTGAATCTGTCAGAAATAAAGATGGAGGGGAGAGAGAGAACTAGAATATTTAGACAGAAATTACTGGAGAAACTCAGCAGGTCTGGCAATATCTATGAAGACAGCAACAGTTAACATTTTGAGTCTGATATTACTCTTCATTGGAATCTGCAGTTGTTTCTCTCAACAGCTTAATTTGCCTTCAGTTTTGTCTCATCACATGTTTGCTTGATCCGATTAGAGAAAATTAAAGCACACATCTGTAAAGACATGAACATCTATTGTGCATCACAACAGAGAACCCCTCGGGTAATGCTATCATGCAGTTATCTATTGGGAAATAGAGACAGGTCCCAACATGTCAAATGCTTCTGGGAGTGCTATCTTGGCTGTAAGCAAAACTCTATCTCAGGTGAGGCTGAAGCCCTGTATTATATTTGATACAGGTAACCAGACACATTAATACCTTC